GAGGAGGAGAGAGGAAAAGGAGAAGAAAAAGGAGGAAGAGAAGGAGGGAGGAGGAGAAGAAGAAGAAGAAGGAGCAGAGGAAAAGGAGAAAGAGGAGGAGGAGAGAGGAAAAGGAGAAGAAGAAGGAGGAGAAAAAGGAGGAAGAGAAGGAGGAAGAGGAAAAGGAGGAGGAAGGATAAGAAGGAGGGAGAAAGGAGGAGGAGAAGAAAAGGAAAAGAAAAAGGAGGAAGAGGAGGGAGGAGGAGAAGAAGAAGAAGGAAGAAAAAGAGGAAGAAAAAGAAGAAGGGAGGAAGAGAAGGAGGGAGGAGGAAGAAAAGGAGAAGGGGGAGGAGGAAGAAAAGGAGAAGGGGAAGGAGGAGGAAAAGGAGAAGGGGAAAGAGGAGGAAAAGGAGGAAGAAGAAGAAGAGGGAGGAGGAGAAGGAGGAAAGGAGAAGCAGAACAAAAGGAGAGGGAGACAAGGAGGAGGAGGAGGAGGGAGAAGGAGAAAAAAAGGAGAGAGGAGAAGAAGGAGGAGGTGGTCCTGGTCCTGCTGCCACATGTCCCAGGCAAGGGCAGTGCTGTCTCCCCCTGGACCCTCCCAGCCCAGTGCTCCCAGGGACCTGCTGCTGGGCACCCAGAGCTGGTTCTGCTTGGGAAGGGTCTGTGCCCCCAAGGCTCTGGGGGTGATGCTGACCAAGACCAGCTTGGGGAGGGGCATGTCCCCCCCTGCTCAGGACAGCAGAGCTGCACTGGCATCGCCTGCTCAAAACCAGCTGCTCTGCCCTAGTGCCACCTCCACCCCAGCCTGGTTTTGGGAGCCAGGATGTTGACCAGTTAGAGCAAATCCAGAAGAGGCCACCAAGATGCTTAGAGGGATGGAGCAGCTCTGCTGGGAGGAAAGACTGAGAGAATTGGGATTGTTCAGCCTGGAGAAGAGAACGTTTGGGGTGACCTCATTGTGGCCTTTCAGTACCTGAAGGAGCCTCCAAGAAACTACAGTGCCTGGAATGACAGGACAAGGGGGAATGGCTTCAAACTGCCAGAGAGTAGGGTTAGATTTGATATTGGGAAGAAATTCTTCCCTGTGAGGTGCTGAGACACTGGCACAGGTTGCCCAGAGCAGCTGTGGCTGCTCCATCCCTGGGAGTGTTCCAGGCCAGGCTGGATGGGGCTTGGAGCAATCTGGGCTGGTGGGAGGTGTCCCTGCCCAGGGCAGGGGGTGGAACTAGATGATCTTTAAGGTTCCTTCAAACCCAAACCATTCTGGGAATTATGTGATCTATCTCTTCCTTCTCATGGTTGTTTCTCACCCCTGCCTAGCAGGAATTTTGATGTAAACAGCAGTGGCTGTACCATGTTATATTTTAAATCCAAGCTCTTCTTTCCTTATACCCATTCCCCACTTGTGGTGCCTTGGAATAAATTTTTAGAGCCTTTGAAAATACTTTTACATATCATTCCTTTAACCCAAACAACTAGTAACAACACACAAATACAACAGAGTAAAGAAACAACAATGTATTTTGTTCTCTTCCTGTTGTATTTTGCAAGAGATTGTGCTCCATCATGGATATATCCTCCAGTGCTGGATGCAAATCTGTTATCAGCTCTCACTCCAGTCCTTAACTGCAGAGCAAATGTATTGGTGTCACCCAGGGCAGAGGGATAGTAGGGAGCAGTTGCAATAAATTAATCATTAGTGGACAACAGATACTGGAGAGATGTTGAAAGGCAACAGGATCACAATACCAGAACCCCAAAACACATGAGAAATTGGCACTGTGTAAAAGGAGGTGATAAAGGTTATTTTGGAGTATTTGCCTGCAAGTTTATCACTCATTTAACTGATTTTGCCTTGCCCAAACCAGAGTGAAAAGAATGTCATGGGACTGTGTAGTGTTACTACTCCAGTAAAGCAACAAATAAGGTAACTGGAAGGGGAATTGCAGGGGGAAGGACTAGGAAAAGGGTCATAAATTTCCAGTTTTGAAATATCCCAAGAACTTGGAAGCACAAGCCACTACCAAAGCCTGATGTGCTCTGCAGGGAACACCTGTGGTGGGGTGGACCTGGAACTTGCTGTGGTCCAGTGCTGGAGGACATCCTATATATAAACTATAGAGAATTTAAACATTGTTTAAATATTGAGCAGGTAAAAATGGTAAAATTTGTTCTGAAATCAAAGTATCGATGAAGAAAATGAGTTAAGAGGTGAAACTCATGTTTTTAAAAGTAACTGTAGGACGGCTTGAAAAAGTGCAGAGGAACCAGATCCTGTGCTTGCAGGTGTTACCTCAGAGCATAAACAAGTTCTAGTCAAGGGGTAAAGGAAAAGAAACAAAGAACAAACGTTACTGTTTGATCTTGACTCCTCCCCAGACAAGGCTGGGTCGCATCTGATAAGGACTAATTATTGGCTTTTTTGAAGGTAACAGCAGCAGCACAAAGTTCTCAGGTCTTCAAACTGGAAATTCATATTAACACTGCAGTTTTCCCCTGCCTGCATTACCCCCTAGATCTTAAAAAGTACATTTTTAACACCCTCAAGAACAGTTAAAAATCAGAATTCCACCAGTTCAATTGTGCATTGTCACAGTCAATGGAAGAGCTACAGAAATGTCCTTTCATAATCAATTTATTTGGCTTTTGTGATCACAAACACTATCAACAATTTTACAATTGTTTTTATTCACATAAGTTTTCTTTTTAAATCTAAAAACTAATTGTGGTGGTGTTGGATTTTTTTCCTAGGACTATTTCAACTATTTTTCATTTCATCTTTTATCCTTTAAAACCAGATGTGAAGTTCCAGTATCTCAAATATTGACATAACAAAGTTATGTCTCCCAAGGAGAAACTTTTCCTTAGTATTTCAAGATAGAAAATAAAAGCTTCCAATCTTTCCCATCACAGCTACAAAGTTGTTGGAAGAAAAAAAATAAAGCTGCAACTACCAAAAAAATAACTTTGTCACAGATGTACATCACTCAGCAAGGAATCCAACACTAGGGAGCAGTTTTATTAGATAAGCAACTCTACTGATGGTACAACCATAGAGAAAAATAACTACAATGTTAAGACATCCTCAACACATCATTATGAATTTCAAAGTCTGATCTGTGTTATGCTTCATTGAATAGGATAGAAAACTGTCCCTCACAGCCTAACCAAGGCCTCAGAGCCCTCTCCATGTAACATGCCATTAATTTCTGGTTTCATAGAAAACAGACAACCAGTACATGATTTTACCACTTTAAAAAAAGCATTTACACTTATCTAAATATGTAAAAAAATGGGTTGAGTTGGGATTCTCTCCTTTTTAAAAATGTGTTTTCTAGAACTACTAAAAAACTTGCATTTACAAAATAGTTGATAAAAATATTCCTCTGAATTGTACAAGAAGAAAGGGTTATGGACCAGATGTTACTCAGGCTTCACTTCTTTCTCTACTGCTGCATCAGGTGTCGGGGCCTGGAAAGGAGACAGAAAACAAACACTTCAGTGCAGGAAGTTTCTAAGTGGCTCAGACTTAGTTTGGAGTGGGTTTAATGCCCCCAAATGGCATACAGAACAACCCTGAGCTGTTTGCACAGACTGTGCCTCACAAATTGGTGCCATGTCTGCTTATTCCTCTTGGATCATGACCTGCTAACCCAACCTGTCTCAAAAAAGCCTCCTCAGATCCATCAGTGTGGATTTCAGGAGGCTGATGTTGTTCCTAAACAAACACCGCAAAGAATTTTAATTTCAATTTTCATGACTGTCTTTATGACAGGAGGAGCTTTAGCTTTCACTAAGCTAAAAGCCCTGGATATGAGGTGTTTAGAAGAGACATTAGAGATACACTTCATGCATTTAAATTGCAGTGCAGCACTGTTAAAATACCCCCAAACTAAGACTCAGAAACAGAACACAGTAATGTCCAACAGAACAGACTCTGCCTCTGCCTCTCTTAGGCTTTGGTTTTGTAATAAAGCTGAAATTTTGGCTGGTGTGACCACCATAAGTGCAGAATTCACCACCCACTCCTTACAAATTTACATAATCTCTGCACCAGTGTGTCTGCAACAGAGTCCAGGTGAGAAAAGCTGCCAGATTTCACTATCCCTGGTATTGCTCAAATGCCACATACACAAATCAACAAGACCAAATGATGTGATTGTTATAATGCCAAAAAGTTCAGCCAACTGAACAATTCCTAGTTTACAGCACAACTTTTTCACAAAGCTCACAAAAAAGTTGGCAAATGACAAACTGTTACCACAGAGTAAATTATCTTGTTCACTCCAGGACCATCCTGGACCTTCTCTGCTGCCTAAAACCCAAATCATACTTTTCTTCTACGTGAAGGTCTCTGCACACTGATGGATCAGTGGGACAGAATTCACACCATTTTGCCTTTAAAAATATTGATTTTGCAATGCAAAAAACCAACAGGAAGTGTGAATCACACATTTAAATTCAGACTCGTCTGACTCTGATCAGCACAGTCCACTGAGCTTGTGAACATGAGTGAAGCATATCACAGAAACCTGAGACCAATTCTAAGCCTGTTTTCCCCTCAAAACTCTTTCAGTGACAAGAAAGTGAGTTATTAGATTGGTCAAAAAACCTTCTGTAGCAAGAAGGAACTTCTCTTCCAGTAAGAACACCCAAACCCAACCCCTCTCACCTTTACCTCCTCAGTTTTAGCCTCCCCATTCTCTGCAGGCAGGTTGTCCTTTGTCTGGTCTTGGTTTGTCTCTTCTGTCTGTTTTCCTTTAGGGCCCTTTTTCCCCTTGGATTGAGCTTTCTTGTCCTCAGATTTATCCTACAATGAAATCCATTTCCAGTAAGTAAATTATTGGTAAACTCAGAAGATAACAAAAGCACAGAAAAATCAAGATGGACTTTCTAAGCTACCAACAACCCATGGAGCTAATACATGGTTCAACTGCCAAAAAAAGTTTTCCAAACTATATATACACAAACAAATCACAGTTTCAGAGAGTAAAATGAGAGCAACAAACCCGAATGAGAAGATAAATACATTTTAGCGGCTAGACAGAGCAATTTGTACCTGGTGGGAAAACAGCAATGCAATTCCTTGTTTTATAAGCACAGATTAATTCAAACACACTTTTTCTTTCTGATATTGACAGGCAGGAATTTTAGTGACCAAACTGAAGTAAATTTATCACCTAGAAGTACCATTTTCAGTGTATCTTGATCACATACTGTTAAATGGGCTGGGAAAATGCATTTGTTCAAGAGCTACTTCATATAAATATATAATGCATCCTCCCAGACATTCCTTACAGCAACCAAATACTCCAAAGTTTGCCTGTCCTCCAGCTGATCCCACTACTTACAACATAATCAGCATTACATGAATGCAACACACAGATTTCTGTGTTTTCATTGTCAAAATACATATTTTTTTCATTAACATTTCTTTAAAAAAGCCCACCAATAATTCCATAATGAGCAAAGTTCTCCCAACTGGAAAAAAATACTGTCAGGGAAGGTTTGAAAAGTGACAGGGTTGATGGGAAAAAAGTGTGTTTTGATGGATCAAATACAGAAAGTAAATAAATAATTTTTAAATCTCTCTTTGACTGGTAATTAACAGCTAAAAGAAGTTACATGCAGCAAAGCACTATCATGTGTATCAGTCAACATCGACCGCAGCAGGAAGAATTAGATGCACCTCAGACACTGGAAAAAAAAGAGAATTGCAACTGAAGTAACATTGGGAAGATTCCCCAAATTCTTTGGGCTTACAACCTTGAGAGTGGGAACACAGTGATCCTCAAACCACTGGAATGGAGGTGCATTCCTGGTACATAACTGTCCAGTAGGATTAATGCAGTGAAAACATCAGAAAGTCTGCAAAGCAGAGCTCTGTTAGGGAAATCAGAGAATCATGGAATGGTTTGGGCTAGAAATGACCTTAAAGATCATCACACCCCACCCCCCTGCCCTGGGCAGGGACACCTCCCACCAGCCCAGGCTGCTCCAAGCCTCATCCAACCTGGCCTGGAACACTCCCAGGGATGGAGCAGCCACAGCTGCTCTGGGCAACCTGTGCCAGTGCCTCAGCACCTCACAGGGAGGGATTTCTTCCCAATATCCAACCTACCCCTACTCTCTGTCAGTGTGAAGCCATTCCCTCTTGTCCTGTCACTCCAGGCCCTTGTAAATAGTCTCTCTCCATCTTCTTTGCAGGCTCCTTCAGGTGCTGGAAGACCACAATTAGGTCACTCCAAAGCTCTTAATCCATACATCCAAAAGAAAAGCTTATGATCACGAAGGAACACTTAACAGCAAATACAGCAGGAAGCCAACATACACAGAGCTGGGGTTAATACTCCCAAGAAACAAAGAATTTCACATCTCAGTTATTGGCACTGTGAAGGCTGTACTGAAAAATGTAAAGATCACACTAACCCAAGCTTTCATGCACACACAAAGACCTGAAAGTTTGACTACATGAATGGAAACTCAAGTGTTTTTTAGTGGTTCGTAAGCTATTTTCCCCCGTCCTAACACACTGTTTTAAGATGTGAGTATACATTATTTATCCCCTTCTGTTATAGTGGTGAACTACAATCCTATGTACAAAATCACAGACTCATTGATGCTGGAAAAGACCTCCAAGATCCTCAAGTCCAACCTGTGACCCATCACTAGATGTCAACTAGAGCAGAGCACTAAGTGCCACATCCAGCCAGGATTCCTTGAACACCTTGAACACCTCCAGGAATGGTGATTCCACCACCTGCTTGGACAGCTCCTTCCAATGCTTGACAACCCTTTCCATGAAGAAATTCTTCCTGATATCCAACCTGAAGCTCCCCTGGCACGGCTTGAGGCTACATCCTCTCATCCTGTCACGAGCTGCCTGGGAGTAGATGCTGAAGAAATTCCTCCTGATGTACAGCTGCTTCAACATCAAGCAGTTCCACCCACTCCCAAACTACCATCTAACACACATGGATCAGTGCCCACATTTCCACGCAACACTTGGAGCTTAACCAGGATGGAACTACACACGCAGTGGCCGAATGCACCTGTAGATAGTAGCAGAAGCACCTTAAAATGATGCCTCAGTAAGTAAGTGTTCAATAAATGAGTGTTCCCACAAGGAATTGATCAAGAGGACCAATGGTATCCTGGTCTGGATCAGGAACACTGTGGTCAGCAGGACCAGGGAGGTGATTCTGCCCCTGCACACAGTGCTGGTGAGGCCACACCTTGAATCCTGTGCTCAGTTCGGGGCCCCTCAGCTCAGGAGGGACATTGAGGTGCTGGAGCAGGTGCAGAGAAGAGCAACGAGGCTGGTGAAGGGACTGGAGCACAAGTGCCATGAGGAGAGGCTGAGGGAGCTGGGGGTG